CCTAGCATGCTGCAGTCCACGAGGTCGCAAAGAATTGGACATGACTGAGTGACTGAACAGCAACAACAAACAAAGAGCTCCTGGGGAAAGTGGTTTTCATACTGAGAGAGTTTCTCTTGGATGGATGGAATCTTCCAAGGAACTGCTAGACAGATCAAATAATTCCAGACATTTGTGAATAAGGTTTGAGGATCTTCAACCCCATTCAGGATTCAACTTTTCTCCAGAGAAGACTGGCTCCTTTTAATAAATATCGCTGTTTAGAAGCCAGGTTTGGATGCTACATGTAGTCATTGCAACTGGGGTTTCATTGCTTCCAGGCTTTATCAGTACAGGCATAGGAAATATATGTATGTGTATACATATACCTGGCCTTCCCTGGTGGCTCAGTGGTAAAGAACCCGCTGACCAATGCAGGAGACACAGCTGTGATCCCTGGGCTGGGAAGATCCCTTGGAGACGCAAATGGCAACCCACTCCAGTATTTTTGCCTGGGAAATCCCATGGACAGAGCAGCCTGATGGGATGTGGTCCATGGGATCACAAAAGAGTCAGACTCGGCTTAGCAACTAAACAACAACAATATACAGATACATAAATACACATACATATTTATTTCTTTATCTCTGTATATTAAAAATTCATACCAGTTACTCTAAATCCAGCCATTAGCGCAGGGTTTATTCTATCCTTTTGCCTTTTCATATTGCTTAACTCCTTTCTCTGATAGAAACCCGACCCCTCATCCTTAATATATTTACTGATTTGCTCAAATCCTGCACTTGTGAATTCACATACTTTCTAAAATTTATTTGTAACCCAAATCAATACTTGTGCTTTTGCAGTCATTTGTGGACATGTGCAGAGGGGTGAAAAATTTGACTGTAACTTGCATATTACTAGCTGAGGTGATACTTTGACTTTCTGTTTCAGCTCTTATACTGTAAACAGATATCCTTCTCGTAGTCTATTTAGTGGCTTTTTTTTTTTTTTTTGCATTTTTGTGCTTTTGTTCCTGATTTGCCTGTGTAAAATGTGTCTCACATGTAGTGCTAAGGTGCTGTCTAATGATACTCAGTGCAAGAAGGCTGTGATGTTTCTTATGGAGAAAATTCATATGTTAGAGAAGTTTTATTCAGGAGTGAGTTATATATAGTTCTGTTCGCTGTGAGTTCAGTGTTAGTGAACCAACATATTTGACATAATGAATTAACATATAATAAATAAGGTGTCTTTAAACAGAAACACACAAAACAAGATCATATATTGAGCTGATGAAAATGTTGTGACCAGAGGCTTGCAGGAACCTAACCCTCTATTTCTCCTAGGAGCAGTGGTTCAGTGTTTGCTAACTCTGTTTGTGATCACTTTGTAAAATGTAACTATGGGGAATAGGAGAATTGACTATCTGTAAAGTCCTTTCCAGCTCATGAGTGAGCAAAGTAAAGTACTGTATGTCTTTAAAACCACGTGAAGAAACAGTCTGTGAGTTGATTAAAGTATAGTCAGAAAAAGAGCTAGTCAGAATATTTTGAAATACAATGTAAAATCACCTGCAAATTGCAAATGCACAGGAAATGCAAACATAAAACCTATCTTTAAAATTTTGGTTTTGAAATGCTGATGACACAAAAGGATGATAAAACCAGTTCCCACTTATAATGGTATTTATATTATCCTAAGTTAAAATAATAATTTTAAACCACTGGAAATTTTTTCTGAACTTAAGAGAATTGAAGTTTGCTAATTGTTGTAGACCTAATACATTAGTACCTATAAGAGGATGATCAGTACTTCCACAGATTTATATATTTATAAATGAAATATTGGGAGAGATGGGAAGGGAAAAGGACTTAGTAGAGTCAGTAGAACCAGAATTTGGCATCTAGGTTGAAGTAAATGAGCTCATGGTTTGGGTAGAAGTGAAGAAGCAAGTCTCAGAGGAACTGACTGCACAGGGATTAGCTTGTGTGGAGAGGAGCAGTAATTCTCAAAGCAGGGAATATGAGTCAGGTTTTGGAACTGCTGAGCGGAGAATGCAGGGCAGGATGTGTAAATATATTGATGGGTCTAGAAGAGTCCAGTTGGTAAAGATCAGGTGTTTGACTACAGAGGTACTTGAAGGCACTGCAGGCTTTTGAGAAAGGGAATTCCAAGTTCAAAACAATATTTTAAGAAAATGGTTCTTGCTGCTGTGATAGTTTGCTGGGGAAAGAGAAGTTTCTTACATAATTCAGTAACAATTGTTAATAGCAGTAATGAAGCATTTGTGTGTGTGTTTTACTGTTACTTAAGTGCTTTTACAGGTGGTCCTTGGGATACTCCTGTGAGGTAGCTTTTCTTATTACCACTTTAAAAGAAAAATTATTTATTTGTCTGTGTCGGATCTTAGTTATGGCATGCGGATCTTTCATTCTGTATGTAGGCTGGCTTCTCTCTAGTTGGAGCTTGCAGGCTTGCATGGGCTCAGTATTTGTGCCACATGGGCTTATTTGCCCCGTGGTATTTGGATTCTTAGTTCCCTGACCAGGGATCGAACCCAAGTACCCTGCATTGCAAGGCAGATTCTTAACCACTGGACCACCAGGGAAGTCCCTCTTCTCACTTTTACATAGGGGAAACGGAGGTCCAGAGTGTTGAGTAACAGGTTCATGGTCACATAGCTATTTAATGGTAGGCTTGCAACTCAAACACCTCAGTTTCAATTAAGGATTTGGACAAATAACTATTGTTATAGGATTAGAGAAGGAAAGGACAGAGCTGATTGCTCCTTTCTTCTAATAAGTAGTAGTATTGGCATGAGACCAGATAGAATCAAATATTAGAGAAAATTTTATTGACGTTGGAAAACATGGTGAAATTCTTCAGAAAGTCCGAAAGTTTGCACTGTTCCTACTTGTAATTTCCTCTTACCCTTTCCCCCCCTATGTTTGGGCTTGAATCTGCTGAAGTTTGATCTTAACACGTATTTACATTTTTAGGAAAGGAACTGTCTGACACTGAATGATCTGGTAAATGTGTCAGCTGTTAGTAAACAAGAAGCCAATAATTGTATCTCATTTGAAAACAATCCCAACAGGTGAAACCTCTGCTGAAATAAAATCCTGTTTTTAAGCTTTAATTTTCATTTGAAACATAGGTTGCTGTGAGTAGCCTGTTAGAAACAGTTACACAGTTTTAGAAATGAGATACTTTGGAAAGCATCTCTAGGTTTAAAATTCTTAACACCTCTCTCCCATTACCCCTGGCCCTTCCTGCCTACTCATGAGGAAATAGAGATTCAGCTTCAAGGTAATATTTTATTGAGTTGGACATACTGCAAAGTACATTTTTCCCCTTAAAATCCTGAAGGCAGGGATTTTTATTTATTTTATAGAAGAGGCAATGAAAACTCATAGTTCACCGATAGTGGAGCTATGAGTCAAATCAGTGCTTTCTAAGTACAGGACTCTTCCCATGGTATTATGCTGTATTTTAATTGGTTCAAGACTAGGTCACAGAGTGTTAGAACTAGGACTTTGGAGATATTTCCTTTACCTTTTCATTCCATAAACTAGCTTATGGAATTGGGCTACTTGGATTCAAATCTTAATCCCATCATTTATTAACCATGGGATCTTGGGAAGTTACTTATCCTATCCTTACTTCCATTTCTTTATCCATATACGTGGGATAGTAACACTAGTAATGTGGATTTGATCCCTAGTCCAGGAAGATCCCTGGAGAAGGAAATGGCAATCCTTTCCAGTATTCTTGCCTGGGAAATCCCATGGTCACATGAGCTTGGCAGGCTACACAGTTCATGGGGTTGCAAAAGAGTCGGACACAACTCAGAGACTAAACAGAACAATAAATATTACTAATGATTGTTAAGAGGAAAATGAGCATCACAGAGGTTTAATTACTTCTAAAGATTATATTAAAGTAGCTGAGTTTAAACTAGAATCTGGATCTTTGACTCCTAGTATTGTAGTTGATGGGGCTTCACAGGTGGCACAGTGGTAGAGAATCCGCCTGCCAATGCAGGGGGTGTGGGTTTGATCCCTGGGTCGAGAAGATCCCCTGGAGTAGGAAATGGCAACTCGTTCCAGTTTTCTTGCCTGAAAAATTCCATAGACAGAAGAGCCTGGCTGGCTCCAGTCCATGGGATCGCAAAGAGCTGAATATGACTGGACAACCCAGCTCACACACACATACACACACTTTGTAATTGATGTTTGGCAAAGTGTTTTTAGACAGTTTGTATATCCACTCTTTATTATGGCCCTATCAGGTCTACAGGTCATGTGAGAGAAACCCTTGGATTCCCCAGAGTTGGTTCCTAGAATAGAGATTTCCAGTGCTGTGTACAGGGATGCCATTTATACAGTGGATTGCATTTCAGATTCGTAAAATAAAGCATTCTTCTCATTGAGCAATATAGAGCTCCTCCTTTCTCCAGTCTAACCTTTCACTTTAGTCCAGAGACCTTTTTGAGGTCAGTTAATGCCAGAGGGGAAAATTGGACCTCACTCATAGCTCTAACAGCCATTTAGTATCCCTTTGTCTTGGAAGTCAAGTTGCCCAAGTGTATTTTCCCACCCCCAAAATTTCAGCCTTAGTTTCTTCATCCTTTTGGGGATAATGGTAATGCCAGTACTGTTTGATGTAAAGGGATTTTATGAAGAGCAGATAAATCAGTATTTATGAAAAGGAATCACAAACTAAATGATAAGCTAACTGTAAAATGCCTGAAGTAGGTTTATTTTGTTACTGTTCTGAGAGGAAGCTCATGTCCTGCAGTTTGAGTCAGCTCTTACCAGAATCCTTTTAGTCTGTGGTAGGCAAGGGTGCGTTTTATCTTTGGAGAGATGAGCATGGGCAGCCTTGGTCCTGGTCCTATTTTGGAAGTTCTCCTTTCATTTGCCCTGTTGTAGAAGGATTTCTAGACTTAGATACACTCTTTGCCTTCTACACATGGAGTCTGATACAGATTCCTAACTATGTTTTTCTTTTTTTAGAGGAACCAGATTAGCATCTTCCAGTGGGTTCCAGGATGCAGCCGATTGCTACTTGCGTCTCGTACACAGGGACAGTGGGGCAGGGCTCTGTCTGGTACTTTCCAGGTAAGATTTGTTGTTCCTTTGCTTGCTATGAAAAAACCCTAGTGTTAATGTGCAAATGTCATGTATTTATAGATTAACCAACCAAATTGTGTGATGGAAAAACCTCATGAGACCACTTCTGGGTCTCTGTGGTGCCAGCTCAGGACTGATCCTTACTGTATGGTGTCTAGGGCGTGGCTTCTAAATACCCCAGTGGTGGAACTTAGCCTAGGATACCATGGTACAGTCTGATGATTTTTACTGTTGGGAGTGTTTCCAGATATTCATCTGAGAGTTAACCTTTCTTCAGTTTTCTTGTAACCACTTTTACCTGGAGTAAGAAAATGCTTCTTTTTTTCCTTTTTATAAACATAAAATTAGAGGAACAATTATTTGAGGCCTTAGTTTACCACTGATCACCTGATCCATTATAATATAGTCTACTTTGGACCCTCCTTGAGGATTTCTGTTCCTGATTTTTGCTAATTATACAAATAATTCAATAATAAAGGTAATAAAAATCACCCATGACTTCAGACCTGAAAACATCTGCTGGTCCTTTTCCAGTCTTTGAGTATGTGTGTGTGTACTAATTTTTTCCTTAGGTACCTGAACAAATATCTACAGAATTTTATGTTCTGGTGCTTTTTCACATATTAGAGCAAACGTTATTCATGTTTTAGACATATTCCATAATTAATTTTTGAAATGGCTACATGTTATTCTATTTACTTAGCCTTTATTTATGTTAAAATTATTTCTAATTTTTTTGCCATAGTAGACTTTAATGTGGTTACCATTTTCTTGCTGTATAGTTTTTCTTATTTTAAATTATTTATTAAGGATAAACTAGGAGAGTACACCCTAGGTCAAAGGGTGTGAGCAATTTTCCTCTCCAAAAAGTTGTTTTAATTTATACTGCCACCAGCAATGTTTATATAACTAGTTTTTCATCCTTACTTCCCCTAAATTGTATTTTTTTTTTTTAATTTATTTATCTTCTGTCTCGGGTCTTAGTTACATCATGCAGGATCTTCTTTGCTGTGCACAGACCCTTCAGTTGTGGCTTTTGGGCTTAGTTGCACTGAGGCATGTGGGATCTTAGTTTCCTGACCAGGGTTAGAACCCACGTCCCCTGCATTGAAAGGCAGAACCACTGGACCACCAGGGAAGTCCCTAAATTGGATTTTTTTTAAAAAATTTAAACTAATTGGGTAGAAAATGTTACCTTGTTTTGCTTAGCATATCTTTATCAGGGTTAAACATTTTTCTGTGTTTTATCAGTCGTATTCTGGTTTGTAAAAACTGTATGCTTTTATTATTTCCTCATTTATCTATTGGGAATTTATTTTTATTACCAATTTGTGTAAATTCCTTTGGTAGCCATTAATCTTTTTCATATTTAATGCAATGAAAATTTATTTTTGATGTATAAATTATATACTGTATAATTATATAAATATGTTAAAATACTTAAAATGCAGAGTAATTCCCTTCAATTAGTATATAAGGGTTGCCCTTCTGAGACTGTCTTGTTTGTCCCTGTGTTTCCTGGGCTGCTCACTGAGTCTGGCACAGAGGTGGCAATAAATGAATGAATGAAGAATATATTTGTGTGGAAGAGGGATCTACTTTAGATAGCCATGTAGCTATTTCTTTTCAGAAGTTTTTGGGCTATGTTCTGGTTTTGTCTGTGTATGCATTGAAAATTTATTTATTTATTTTTGGCTGTGCTGGGTCTTCATTGCTGCCTGGGCTTTTATCTAGTTGCGGAGACCGGGGGCTGCTCTCCAGTCGTGGCGCCTGGGCTTCTCTTAGTTTCGGAGTGCAGGTTCTAGAGCGGGCGACTTCATTAGTTACAGCACTGGGGCTCAGTAGTTGTGGCGCATGGGCTTAGTTGCCCTGAGGCATGTGGAATCTTCCTAGACCAGGGACTAAACCTGTGTTCCCTGCATTGGCAGGCAGATTTTTAACCACTGGACCACCAGGGAAGTCCTAGCAAATTTTAATAGAATTTATCCTGTAGCTCTAAGTCATTTATAAATAATTTGTGCAAAGAAGGTGGAAGGGGGAGCTCATTCTATCAGTCTCTGACTTGGGCCTTATTCTTTGAATCAATAAACATTTCTTGGGTACCTAATACGTACCAGGTACTGTATTAGGTTCTCAGACAGCATTATAGCAAGGCATCCATGTAAATAACTTGGAGTTGTTTGTCTCATGCTGACAAGCTGTAATTTCAGCCATTGTAAATAAACTGGACATTTTGTCATGTTGACCGTACCACTGGTACATCTTCCCAGTTTTGAGTTCTGGTTGGAAAACTCTGCCTCAGAATGACATCCTCAGGCGCATGTCCGAGAGGGAGGCAGATTTGGCTCAGAATGAGGAAGAACCTTGTGTTAACTAAAATTGTGGTGTAATGGAATGTGTTGGCTATATTTGGCAAAGTAAATTTACTCTTACTGGAAATATTCAAGCAATGATTGGAAGACTGTGTTAGGGGCATGACATAAAAGTATCTTTCATTGGGTGAACGGTAGTATCAGAAGATCTCTAAGGTAATGTCCATTGCTATAATCCTGTTATTGTTTTCAAAATGCTAGGGATGTTGGATTCTCAATTATCTTTTCTAAATAACCTCTTGAAGTTCTATCATACTTTGATGAGTCTACTTTAAAATTTTTTTTAATTTTGAAATAAACATAAAAAAATGATAAAAATAGTAGTGTTCCCGTATATCCTTCATCTAGCTTCCTTTGATGTTAACATCTTATATGACCATAGTGCAGTTATTGAAACCAGGAAGTCAACATTGATGTAATGCTATTAAATAATCTGTATACCTATTCCAGTTTCCCCCCCCCCCCATTAATTCCTTTTTTGGTTCTCGGTTTGGGTTTGTCTAATATTTTCTTAAAATTAGATTAAGGCCTTGCATTTTTGGGAAAAGTGACATTGTTCCTTCTCAGTGTGTCTTATCAGGGGATACATGAAGCCAGCATGTCTTATTACTGGTGATGTTAACCTTGGTCACTTGGTTATTAATTAAAGTTAACTTTTCCCCTTTGTAATTAGTATCTTGTGAGAAGATACTTTGAAATGGTACAGATTTCTCATCATACTTTTGCTCATTACTTTTAGCGCCTATTGATGGTTCTTTTTTTTAATGGTATGTAATAATTACTTTAAAAATTTTGATAAAATACACATAACAAAGTTACCACCATTTTTAAGTATGCAAATTCAGTAGTGTAAAATATAGTCACATTGTTAAACAGTATATATCTAGAGATTTTTCATCTTTCAAAACTGAAAATGTATACCCCCGCCTGCTGTTGGCAACCTCCTTTCCAGCTTTCTGTTCCTTTAATGCTTCCTATGGGACTTCCCAGGTGTTGCTAGTGCTAAAGAACCTGCCTGCTAATACAAGAGACACAAGAGATGTGGGTTTGATCCCTGGGTTGGCTCTGGAGTAGGAAATGGCAACCCACTCCAGTATTCTTGCCTGGAAAATTCCATGCACAGAAGAGCCTGGCAGGCTACAGTCCATGGGGTCACAAAAGAATGAGACATGACTGAGCAACTGAGTACAATACTACATATGAGTGGAATCATACAGTATTTGTCTCTTTGTTACCTATTTTGCTTGGCCTGATGTCTTCAAAGTTCATTTGTGTTATAGCATGTGACAAGATTTTTTTCTAAAAGCTGTATAATATTCCATTTTATTTATATATTACAGTTTTTTTATCCATTGTTCTGTCAGTGGGCATTTGGGTTGCTTCCACATCTTGGCTATTGTGAAAAATGCTTCAGTGAAGATAAGTGTGCAAATATCTCTTCAAGCTCCTGCTTTAAATTTTTTTTTTTTTTAATATTTAGCTAGAAGTGGTATTGCTGTATCATGTGATAATTCTATTTATGGTTCTTGACTGCAGTAGTCATTACTGTGGTGTTTGCTTGATGGTCATTTTCTAATTCCATCAATACATACTCCATTTGTTGACTGGAATTCTACTGTAAGGATACAGCTAGGATGAGCTGTCACTTCCTCTCCATTTATTTGTTTATTTAACTATTTGGTTTGTATCAATATGAGCTAATGGATATTTATTCTGTGAGTTATAATCTATTCTCATTATTTATTTTGCTGATCAAATTGTCCCATGTTTGGCTATTGAGAGCTCCTTCAAGTTTTTTTCTACCTTCCTTCAGTTTTTGAACACTTCTTTATTTCTTGGGTACCACAAGATGTTTCAGGTTCATGCGGTACTTAATTTGCTCGAGTCCTAGAGTCAACAGTTTGCCTGGGGAGCCCTGGTTCCGTTTATTGGAGAAGAATATTAGGAATACTCAGAAATTAAGATCTGGGTGCTAAGTGCACATTAGCCAATGTTGAACTCGACTTGGGTTTTGAAACCAGCTCGGGGAGAGAAGAGAGCTCTGAATGTAAGTTTTACCCCTTAATGAACGTCACCTCCTTGAGCCTTAGAGCCCTTACTTCTAAATGGGAGAGCGTTGTGTCAACTTTGAAAGATTTCTTTGAGATAACAAAAGTAAAACAGCAAGCATTCAGATGCTGGGCATATGGGAGATCTTTAGCAAATTGTTAGCTATGATTTTTGTTGCTATTTATGTTCATGCTCCTTGGGTAAATTTTCTCATCTTGTAAATGGAAACTTAAAAAAATTTTTTTTTGTCCTAAAACTACCTCAGGTTGCAACCTCTCCTTGTGTCTTAGTTTCCTCATCTGTGAAAGGAAAAGGTTGGACTTAGAAGATCTCTGAGATTCCTTCCAGCTCAAGTGTTGTTATTCTAAGTTACTCCTTAGTTCTTTAATTGCTTTTTCTCCAAGCTAAACAGCCTCAATTCGTTTTAACCTTTCCACTAGGACCTTTTATTCATCTCTTTGATCATTCCTGTGGTTCTTTTCTGGACCTTCTCCAGATTGTCCTTCTATTTAAAAAAAAAAAAAACCCACCTAGTTTTTATTGAGTGCTGACTCCATGCCCAGAACGGTGTTGAGCAGTGGGACAGAAAATAAAAGAAGTATAAGATATACTGTGCCCTGGTGGAGCTTATAGTTTTGCTAAAAGGACCAGATATTCAAGAATTGCTGAGTCTTTCTCCCCCTTTCCCCTTTTCCCTCCCTCCCTATATTCATTCCTTCCTTCTTTCCCTCCTCTCTTTCTCTATTTCTTTCAGATCAGGAAAGTCTTTTCATTTTTAGAACCTTTTTGGAAGCAAAAAAAGAAGAGTGAAATTTTAGCAATTCACTTAATGAGGGGCTGCTTGCATAAGAGTTTGCTGTTGGATTTGTCTGGAACAGGTCTTCATATTTGTTTTATGCATTGAAGTTTACCCATCTCTTTTACATAGATTATTTTATTTGGTTGTAAAACAAACATATGAGATAGCTAGAGCTTCTAACCCTGTTTTTTTATCTTCCATTACCCCATGCTTCTCACCTTTGTCTTTTCAATCACTTTCTCTATGCTGCTGTCATCTTAAGGCTTATCCATGATCTCTTTTCTGACGACTCCAGATCTTTTTGATCACTAAATTTCTATTTTTTATTGAAGTATAATAAAAATACAAAAAGGCATAAGTCATAAGTATGTTACTCAATGAATTAGCCCCAAGTGAACATAACCAGCTCCCACATCAAGAAATAGAACCCCAGAAGTTCCTTGATCCCCTTCTAGTCTCTGCCCCTAACCAAAGTTAAGCAGTCTTCTCTTTGAACACCAAAGTAGTTTTGCCTTTCAGACATGATATGTACTCTCTTTTGTTTGTCTGCTCTCATTCAACTTTGTTTTAGAAATTCATCTATGTTACTGTGTGTCATAATAGTTTGTTCATTCTCATTGTTGTGTAGTATTTTGTTGTCTGACTGTACCACAATTAATTTTTCCACTTATTTATTGATGGATATTTAGATTGTTTCTAGTTGGGGTTTTATAAATAGGGCTCTTATGAGCATTCTTGTATACATTTTTGTGAGGATATATACACATTTCTTTTGGGGTATATACTTAGAAATGGAATTGTTGAATCTTACAGAATGTGTATACATTCAGCTTCATAGATACTGTCAAATAATTTTTCAAAGTGATTGTATCATTATATACTCCCATCAGCAGAGTATAAGGGTTTTAGTTGCTCTATATCCTCTCTGATGCTTTGTGTGTGTGTGTTTGGTGGGTGGTCTTTAAACATTTTTAAATATGAAAGTAAAGTGAGTTTTCTTTCTCTTCTCTACAAGGTTATGAGCTCCATAGGGTAAGGGTTGTTTTATCTTAAAACTTGGCACAAAGGCTGGCATATTGTGGGTATTTAATAAAAGTTGGAGGAAACATGTATGCATGGTATGTGTATAGATAAGAAGAAGAAGGATATATAATAAGGGCTTTCTTGGTGGTCCAGTGGATAAAAATCTGCCTGCCAATGCAGAGGATGCAGGTTCGATCCCTTCGATCCCTGGTCGGGGAAGATCCCACAATGCCGAGGGGCAGCTAAACTCCTGTGCCCCAACTACTGAACCCACAGGCTTAGAGCCTGTGCTTTGCAACAAGAGAAGCCACAGCTATGAGAAGCCTGCATATTGCAACAAAGAGTAGACCCCATGCAGCAAGGAAGACACAGTGCAGCTGAAACATAAATAGATACATTTGTGAAGAAGCATATAATAAGAAGTAACCTTAAAAGTGGCTGGGTTTGTTCATTCAGCAAATATTTAAGTGTTTGCTGTGTATAATGCACTGTACTTGATTCTGGTAATACAGCTAGTTCCTACCCTCATGGATATTTTTGGTGGTGGTGATAGAAAATAAATATGTGTGTAATAAAAATATAATTGTACATTGTAATGAGTACTGTGAATGAAATGAACAGGCTACTGCTATGATAGAGAATCATGGGATGACAAGAAACTGTTTTAGATACAACAGTTAGAGAAGGCCTCTTTGAAAAAGTGACAATGAGTATTTTGGGTTATTTTCTCTCTCTCTTTTTTCTTTACAAAAAGTTATTTGATATCTTTTTGGTTTAAACAGAGGAAAAATTAATGTTTTTAAAGGTCAAGGGAAGGGTGAAACAGACCACCAGCCCAGGTTGGATGCATAAGACAAGTGCTCAGGGCTGGTGCACTGGGAAGACCCAGAGGGATGGAATGGGGAGGGAGGCGGGAGGCGGGATCGGGATGGGGAACACATGTAAATCCATGGCTGATTCATGTCAATGTATGGCAAAAACCACTACAATATTGTAAAGTAATTAGCTTCCAACTAATAAAAATAAATGAAAAAAAATAAAACACACACAAAAATAAAGGTCAAGGGAATCTTTTTTAGGGGGCAAGGGCAAGAATGGGTAGTACAAAAAAGTAAATGTACATGTTTATAGGTATGTTTAGGTATGGGGAAACTAGATGTTTTCTGGGGAAGAAAAAGATCACGTCATTTAATATAACTTGCCCAAAAGCACAGCTTGTTGAGACTGTTGGTTGTGTTCCTTGAACCCGTTTAAGTGTTTCATGTTCTAGTGGGCCATTACACTGATATATGTGATATAATAGGAGTGGTTCTGTGTTTACTGTTACACAGCCTTCTTGATACCTGTAAATTTAAGTGTAAGTCCTTGGCACTGACCAGAAGAATCCTGACTAATCTTTTAATATTCTTGTTTGGAAAGAAAAGTAAATAGTAACTCTCCACATTTAGAAATTCCATTTTTTCCTTCATTAGTATTAAAGGAAAAATCATTTTCATTTCAGTGTGTCCTTTCTCTTGGAATAAAACAGAACAGAATCCTCCTGCTACTCTTTCCCCACCACTGTATATTGTAAAGAATATATAACAGTACTGAGAGTTTGGAAACTAGGTTCCTAAACTCTTGAATATTCTACCAGCATAGTGAAATAACTCATTTCTGTGTATTCCATTTTAGACTTGCACATATGCATTTGTGTGTCTGCCTATAATTTTATACATAAATGTGTTTTCATGTTGCTAAAAATAATAATCTCTTGTAAACTGTGGATTTTAGGTGATAGTGTTGTATCAGTGTAGGTTCGTCCATTGTAACAAATGTACCACTCTGTTGAGAGATGTTGATAGTGGCAGATATTGTAAATGTGTGGGAAGGGGTATGTGGGAGCTGTCTGCACTTTGGTGTGAGCCTAAAACTGCCTTTAGAAATAAACTCTATTTAAAATCTGATCATTTGATTTTCCATTGAGTGACTGAACCTTAATTTAACCACCTTAAATTAACCACCTCATTTCTCATTGGACTTACTCCCCAGTTTTCACTCTTGTGAATAATGGTAATAATGAGGATCGCTTGCATATTATTTTTTCCATAGGAATTTATTTTCAAAACCATACTTATTGGTCTTGATTATAACATCACCAATATTGGTAGGATTATGGTGAGGATTCCATAAGGTACTTATGTACAAGGCACATTCATTGTGAGGCACTTACATAGTGCCTGGCACATAATAGTTTTAACTAATGGCTTCCCTGATAGCTCAGTTGGTAAATAATCTGCCTGCAGTGCAGGAGACCCCGGTTTGATTCCTGGGTTGGGAATATCTGCTGGAGAAGGGATAGGCTACCACACTCCTGTATTCTTGGGCTTCCCTTCTGGCTCAGCTGGTAAAGAATCCGCCCGCAATGCGGGAGACCTGGGTTCAATCCCTGGGTTTGGGAAGATCCCCTGGAGAAGGGAAAGGCCTCTCCAGTATTCTGGCCTGGAGAATTCCATGGCCTGTATAGGCCATGGGGTCGCGAAGAGTCAGACACAGCTGAGTGACTTTCACTTTTAGTGGCTGTTATATTGCCAAAGTGCTTTCATATACAGTGCGAACATAGAAGGAAGACAATTCTGATCTGGACAACAGTGATGTTGACAATGATGATGAAAACTACTACTTATTGTGTATCTATTTTGTGAAAGGTATTTTATATTCTTTTATTTATTCAGGTATTCACCAGATGTTTGTTGAGTATGTACTAGATACCATTAGGAACTGGGTTAAGAAAGGTTGGATTCTATATTTTTTACTTTGAAGTAACTCTGTTCACATTAACCTTCTAAGTGTGTGCTCAGTGTTGCTTACATCTGTTTGTTTTTCTTTTTTCCTTAAATCTCCTGGGTCTCCAGATGAGCCAGGCCCTAGCATGTGGTGGATCAGTACAAATTCCTGGAGTAGACATTGAGCTGAGGAGGAAGTATCATACCACAAGTAAGGTGAGACTTAATGATTTCTTTCTATGTCTGTAGCATGCTTTCACACAAGTGTTCTTATTTGAAACTCAGCAAAATTGTTACCTGGATGAGGCAAGAAATTTTATTGAATGAAGAAGATGAAGTTTAGGGAAGTAAAACAACTTGCCCAGGGTGACAAGGATGGGAGGAGACAGACCAGCTGAATATTGGAACCTAAGGCTTCTGATCCCGTGTCTTGTATTTCTTCCATTGTACTCTCTAGCTTGAAAAGCACTTTAGAGAAAAAGACATAGGTTTTTTTTTTTTTATGTTAAAATAATATTTAACATCTGGAGAATTTCTTATTAGTTAGATAGCCTGGCTTCATTTAGAGAGGCTTAGCATTAGAAAGGTTTTCCATGGAGTTTATTTGTGAACTACAAAACTTATCTATAGTCATTAATAAAATTTGTTATACTAAGAATACAGGAGTTTAAAAACATGTTTTCAGTACTTGCTTTGGTTGATTATGTCTATGATTTTGTCTGCTTTCAGATAATATTTTTCTTTCCTTTTCCTATAATGTCAATAAACATAGAACATTCCTCTTCTCAGAATTGTTCTTTGGGAGGTAGAGGGGGGCAAGATTTCTTTTTTAAAATACTCTTTTCTATAGAACTTAAATGGGGTGCGTATGTCTGCTCTGGAATTTGGAGGACATCGATTAGGGTTCCAGATATGTTTGTACTGAGTGAAGAAGTACCCAGAAAAATGAGAATTAAAAATTCTGGATGAAGAAAATCTAAGCAATAAAAATTCCCTTTAGACCTAACGAGAAATAACAGCATTCTGTTAAGAAATGTTTTTTTGCAACTGATTTTTGATTCCTTCTTTTTTATTAAATAGCTTTCTTCTACCAAGGATTCACCGCAGCCTGTTGAGGAGAAGGTTGGTGCTTTCACAAAGATAATAGAAGCCATGGGATTCACAGGACCTCTGAAATACAGTAAATGGGTAAAGTCTCAGTTTTTCTCATTTTTCTTTTTGAGCTTTGTGCTTTCTGCTCCTTGCAGAAGATTTTTTTTTTTTCAAGCTTCTGCTTTGCTTTTTGTGAAATGCATGTATTGTTTTGAGAGCTTTAAAACATGTTGTATCCCCTTGTCTCCCATTCTAAGTCAGGTCTATACAGCATGTGGGGCTGAAACACTGCCTCTGCTCCCTTCACTTGATAGCTTAGAAGTATCTCAGTAGCAGGTAATCGAATAAGACTAGTCTTTCCAGATCTTTGCCACGTGAATGCCATATAGATAAGTTCTAAGGAGTTAGATGGGCCAAATGTTCTGATGGGCAGTGTTCTTAAGGAAACATTACTTTCTATTATTCATAAGTGATTTTCTCTAGGTCATGGTAGTGATTTTCTTTAAAATTTTGTTAATGAGCATTTTTAAAATTAATCAATTCTGTGATTTATTATAATTCAAATTATGGAGGGCTGTCTGCTCTGTCATTCCTTATGAGATCTTGGCCTTGCACATTATCTGTTATATAGTACTTGCTATAAATGAGTGAATGTCCACTTTGCATCAGGTGCTACTGCCCCTGGACTTTTATAGAAATGCCTCTAACCAATTAAGTAATAAAACACAAGTCACTGGATTTTTCTCAACCCAGTTATCTTCTAGTACTACTGTTTCTTTCTACAGTTATGGCAAAAGTACCTTTTAATACTTTTCAGGGTTTCTAGAATGTTGGATAAACCTATCAGTCATGTTATAGTCATAAGTCATAATCAAACCAATACAAAGCAGTAGAGAAGACTTTTCTAGAAAACACCATAGCTTTGCCCAGAATGACTAAATTATTTCACTTACACCATTTTAACAAGTTGTAGTCAAATTATTATAGAACTTAAATTTTATTGTGGACTCTACTTTTCGTTTTCTCTTAAAATGTCTGGCTGTCTTCCTAACAGTTCCAACGGCAACACATACACGCTTTTTTCTATACCCTTCCTTTTACATAAATTGAACAGTGATTCCGCCAGCATTTTGTCTGTAAGGGGCTTTGAAAAGTATAGAAGATAAGACACATACTCAGTTATAATAATGTTCTTAAGACCCTAAGGTTATGAAGTGCCTTCTTAATCACTCATGAAATACTATTTATTTATGCTCCTTAAAGTTATCTCTTTTTACATCATAATTCCTTGGCAAATGATAATCATTGGTATATTTGGTAATACTAAGCAGAATCTTTTCCTCTATTAAAAAAATAAGATTTGCAAAAAAAAAGATTTACAATCATAGCATTTGGATTTAAAAGCTTAAGTGTTTTGTTTGAAAGTAAGGAATTAAAAGGAAAATAAGAGCAGAAAGAAAAAAAGAAAAGAGAAAAAAATTGACTGTTTTATTAATTTCTTGATGGTTGAGTTCCACTTGGTTGCTTCCATATGCTTTGTCTCGTCTGTATTTTTATGATTCCAGAGGGAAAGTTGGCTACCATTTGGAGGATTACTAAATCATCAGGAAAATTTCTTCACTGTTTTAGTTTAAGTTAGTCTCTTAAGTTAGAGACTTGGTTCCCTTGTGACCTCAACGAAGTCTCTAATTGCATTTAAAAGATCTTTTGTGATGTGGCAGCGTGTTTCCTGTAACCTTCATTTTTAATTTGTGACATCAAAACATCAAAGTATGACATTCTAGTATAATTTGGGTGGGAAAATGTAGATACAACTTTCCATTTTGAAAGAGCCTTTTTCAGCAGTGTTGACTCATAAGTCTATGGCAGACACTTGTATTGGGGTTGCACTGGCAAGAATCTTTGAATTTTGTCTTTTCACATGTCTTTCATTAGCGAGTAAAATGTCTGCCTGTCTCTCCACATCAGCAGTGTCAGCCATCTTTCCTCCATCTTTTTGTGTAATGTTTTCGTGTGTGGTTCCATTTTTCTTCTAGATGCGTATTCAGGAATTTAAATGTGGCTTTTCCTTACCTGCTTGACTATCACAAAATAACCATTTTTTTCATGATCTTTATGGAACAATGATCAGGTAAGATAAGGATAACATTTAACAGATTTAGCCACATGTCATTGAATAGGCAGTTTCCAGATTAGCATTAAGCCAAAAAGTTATTCCTGTTCTGAAGGACACTGACAAACTAGAATGCATTCAGAAATGGGCAGTGAGCCTTGTGAAGCCTTCAGAAACTTGAATGAAGAGTGGTTGAAGGAAATAGGGATGCTTTGCCTGGAAAGAGAAGACTAATGGTTTTCTCAGGTATTTGAGGAAGAAATGTTAAAAAAACAAAAAGGAGAGGAACTTCCCTTGTGGTCCAGTGGCTGGGACTGTTTTCTTCCAGTGCAGGGCGCCTGGGTTCAGTCCTTGGTCAAGGAACTGGATCCCACATGGCATAACTAGGAATTCAAGTGTTACAACTGAAGATCCCATGTGTCACAACTGGGATCTGGTGCAGCTAAATACATAAATGCTGCTGCTGCTAAGTCGCTTCAGTCGTGTCCGACTCTGTGCGACCCCATAGACAGCAGCCTACCAGGCTCCTCCATCCCTGGGATTCTCCAGGCAAGAACACTGGAGTGGGTTGCCATTTCCTTCTCCAATGCATGACAGTGAAAAGTGAAAGTGAAGTTGTTGAGTCGTGTCTGACTCTTCGAGACCCCATAGACTGTAGCCTACCAGGCTCCTCCGTCCATGGGATTTTCCAGGCAAGAGTACTGGAGTGGGTTGCCATTGCCTTCTCCTAAATACATAAATACATAAATAAGTATACTAACAAAAAGGAGAGACTTAATCTGCGGTATTCCAGTGTGCAGATCATGTTTAATGAATGTTACACGAAGCAGATTTATGTTCAGTATAACACAAATCTAACAAGAATTGTCCTCCAGTGGACTAGGTATCCTCACAAGGTCATTGGGCTTGTTTGAACAGGGGCCCAGATAGTTGACTGTGAATCAAGAATGCTGGAGAAGGAATTCCAGTACAGAAGAGAAAGTTCAAATGACTTCAAAGCCCCTTCCAACTCTCACACAACTGTGACTGCAAGCCTTTTACTGGATTCGTTTTTCATCTTGTAGGATGGTACAAACTGCATCAGTTATTGGGAAAGCTGATTTTCATTTCCCAAAGCTGTCTTAGGTGCTTGTGTTTTAGTCAATTAGACTGATGGAGTCTTCCAGAGTTAGAATGAAATAAACATGAAGTCATCCGAGAACCAGAACAATTTGTATTGACTGGATGGAAATTTAGTCCACCTACTTGCTTAACTTATATTAACACATGAGCCTTGAAGAGGTTCTTTCCCCAGGTTGTTATTTCCAGTCCCTGTGTGATGGTCTTAAGGGACTTGCTTTAGAGATTTGTCCAGGAAAATGGCTCACCCAAGTATAAAGGCTTGGCTTTGCTGCAGGAAAAGTGAGGAACTATAAAATGCTCCTCATTGCCACAGTATGAGCACTGTATAAATACACTGGCCAATATGGTGAGGTCTTCATTATTTGTAATGAATGGTTGCTTCATGAACATGTGGTGGGGAAAAACCTCTTTCTCAAGGAATGATGTGGGACCTTGCAGGCAAGTGTGCCTTTCCTTAGAGAAAGTGATTAATTATGAACCAGAAGACTGTATATAAGAATTGGAAGGAAACTGCAGATTTAAAAAAAAATTTGACATAGGCCATTAGGAATTTTACTTGAGATTATAACTGTGTTGGGACTTCCCTGGGCATCCGTCTACTGGTTAAGACTCTTTGCTCCCAATGCAGGGGGCGCATGCCATAAGGTGAGGCCTAAAATAAAAAAGAAAAATTTTAAATGTGTCATGATAGTTAAACTAGGCCTTAAGTTCCATGAAAGGAGTTTTTAACTGCTTTGTTTATTGCTGTATTTCCTAGTGTCCAAATCAGTGTTAGGCACTGAGTTAGGTGCTCAATAAATTATTTGTTGACTGAAATGAAGAGCTTACCGATGTCCTAAGCTCTCTGTTTCAAGGATAATAATAGGCCTGTCAAGGCCAAGTCATTTTGATAATGGCATCATTAGGATATCATTAGTTTGGCAATGGTACAGACCAGTGCTTCTCTAAATGTGTTCTATATAAAATACTCCCCCAAACTGTAGGTGTTAAAAAGTGAAACATGCTGCATTTTTAGGTTGCTGATATGGTGAACTACACTGATTTGTGAATGTTGACTTATCTTGAAATCCCTGGGATAAATTCCAGTTGATCATGATATGTTCTCTTTTAAAAATACTGATGGATTTGATTTGTTAGTATTTTGTTAAGGAGTTTTGGATCTGTGTTCTTGAAGACTATGGTTTTACTGTATTGTTTTCTTCTGATGTCTTTGGTTTTGATACCAGGGTAATGTTGGATCATAGAATGAGCTGGGATGTGTTCTTTGCTTTTTTTCTGCAAGAGTTTATGTAGATTTGATATAGTTTCTTCAGATATTTGATAGAATTCTCTAGTGATGCCCTCAAGCCTGCAGCTTTCTTTGGGGAAGATTTTTAACAACAAATCCAGTTTTTATTTATTTATTTATTTATTTTTATTTTTTTCAAATCCAGTTTTTAAAATAGAGGTAGGAAGACTTCCCTGGTGGTCCAGTGGTTAAGACTCCATGCTTCCACTGCAAGGAGCTCGGGGTTCCCTGCTGGGGAACTAAGATCCTACATGCTACATGTAGTGGCCAAAAAAAAAAAAAGATAGGACTATTCATGTTATTTATTTATTCTCGTGAGCTTTGGTAGCTTGTATCATTCAGTGAGTTTGTCCACTTCATCTAAAATAATGACATTTATTTACTTAAAGTTGTTCATGATATTATCCTATTACTATCTTTAGGATATATAGTAATGTGTTCCCTCTCTTCTCTGATTTCCAATATTGGTAACTCATGTCTTCTCTGTTTTTTCTTTCATTAAAAAAAAAATGTATTTATCTATTTATTGGGTCTTAGTTGCAGCACAAGGGATCTCTGATCTTAGTTGCGGCACGCAGGATCTTCTAGTTGGAGCAGGCAAACTCTTAGTTGCAGATGTGGGAACTAGTGCCCTGGTCAGGGATTGAACTCAGGCCCCCTGCATTGGGAGCTCAGAGTCTTAACTACTAGGCCCTCAGGGAAGTCCCTGTTTTTTCTTTTTATTCCCCTTAGATTGGTTCTACTAAAATTTTGTCAACTTTATTGATGTTTTCAAAGAACCAGCTTTGGCCTATGATTTTCTGTATTATTTTTGTTTTCAGTTTCATTAATTTCTGCTCTTATCTTTATGTATCATTCTGCTTGCTTTTAAGTTTAATTTGCTCTTTGCTTTTAGTGTCTCACCAAGAGTTTTGTTTAAATGTGGGCTTCCAACACTGATTTATTGCCCGTAAAAATATACCTGATTTCCATTGGTTTTATGTTGTTTTGTTTTCCCCCATATGAACTTTAGGCTAAAAACATTGAAAATATAACATCTCAAATTAGCAAATAAAAAAATCTTAATTGCAGTCAAAGACATAATACTTTATTTTATAACAGGCATTTCTGCCCATGAGAAACTGAGATATGAGTATTATATAGTAGTGGATATAGTATATCCTTGATGACTGAACCTTAATAACAAAACTGCTCTGCTAAAATTCTAGGTTGGTTTTTCCTCAGTTGCTACATCATTTGCATATATATATTTTTTTAGTCTGTGCATATTTGAGTAATTTTCTCTGTCATTTTAAAGAAAAATAAGCTTCTACAAGCCTTTGTTGATAAACTAATTGTATCCTTAAGGAAATATTTTGAAAGTTCTTAGAAAGTCTGGTTCCTTTAGCACTGAGTTGGTCTTCAGACCTACAGTTCATAAAAATTTACTTTTCATTTTTAGATTTATTTTTATGAAGGCATAATGTACATATAGTAAAATATACAAATCTTCAGTATACAGCTCATGAATAAATTAAAATCACTCAGATTAAGATTCTATGAGAATTCTTAGTGTTTTAGGGAATAGTAAACAGTTGATCCTTTTACCATATTTTATATTCATTAGAAACTTTTTTTTTCTTAGAAACTCTTTTTTAAAAGGAGTTGCTGTGTTTATTGTTGTTCAGTTGCTGAGTTGTGTCCAACTCTTTGTGACCCCATGGACTGTAGTACATAAGACTCCTCTGTCCTCGACTATCTCCTGGAGTTTGTTTAAATTCATGTCTGTTGAGTCAGTAATACTATCTAACCATCTCATTCTCTGTTGCCCCCTTCTCCTTTTGCCTTCAGTCTTTCCCAGCATCAGGGTCTTTTCCAGTGAGTCAGCTCTTTGCATCAAGTGGCCAGAGTATTGGAACTTCAGCTTTAGCTTCAGCAACAGTCCTTCCAATGAATATTTAGGGTTGATTTTCTTTAGGATTGACTGGTTTGATCTTCTTGCTCTCCAGGGGACTCTCAAGAGTCTTTGCCAGCACCACAGTTCTTCATCGCTCAGCCTTCTTTATGGTCCAACTCTCACACCCATACTTGACTGCTCTCCATATTTTTGACTATATGGACCTTTGTCGGCAAAGTGATGTCCCTGCTTTTTAATATGCTATCTAGGTTTGTTGTAGCTTTCCTTCCAAGGAGCAAGTGTCTTTTAATTTCATGACTGCAGTCACCATCCACAGTGATTTTGGATGGAGCCCAAGAAAATGAAATCTGTCACTGCCTCCACTTTTTCCCCTTGTTTGTCATGAAGTGATGGAACCAGATGCCATGATCTTAGTTTTTTGAAAGTTGAGTTTCAAGCCAGCTTTTTCACTCTCCTCTTTCACCCTCATCAAGAAGCTGTTTAGTTCCTCTTCACTTTGTACCATTACGGTGATATCATCTGCATATATGAGGTTGTTGATATTTCTTCTGGCAATCTTGATTCCAGCTGGTGATTCATCCAGCCCAGCATTTCGCATGTACTCTGCATGGAAGTTAAATAAGCAGGGTGACAATATACAGCCTTGACGTACTCCTTTACCACTGTTGAACCAGTCCATTGTTCCATGTCTGGTTATAACTATTGCTTCTTGACCTGCATACAGATTTCTCAGGAGACAGGTAAGATAGTATGGTACTCCCATCTCTTTAAGAATTTCCCACAATTTGTTGTGATCCACATAGAGGCTTTAGTGTAGTCAATGAAGCAGAAGAAAATGTTTTTCTGGAATTCCCTTGCTTTCTCCATGATCCAACAAATTTATAAACATAGTATTCTGTTAGGATCAGCAAACTATAAAACTAGGGAAAATACAGAAAAAAATGACCCCCTCTCTTCAGGCAAAAAAAAGACTTATGGAATAGATAATAGTGCTTCTGAGGAAAGATCAAATGATTGAGGGTTTTGTTTGATTTTGGTCAGGAGAATGGGTAATTTTTTTTTTTTTAATATAAAGGGTTTCAGATTATAAAGAATGTGGATGGTTCTGAACTATGGTTTAGAGGCTCAAATGTGGTAAAATGGGTTTGAATTAAAAGATAGATTTCCTCTAAATACTAGAAAAATCTTTTTGACATTTTGATGCTAAAATCATAAAATCTAGAATTTTGTGAAGTCCAAATGTCTTGATTTAATAAAAGAAAGCATGGCATCACCGACTCAATGGGCATGAGTTTGAGTAAACTCCGGGAGTTGGTGATGGACTGGGAGGCCTGGCATGCTGCGATTCATGGAGTCGCAAAGAGTCGGACACGACTGAGCGACTGAACTGAACTGATCTATATTGTTTAGCTATTAATTTTGCCTAGAGACAGGTTTGGACCCATCCTTCTAGTTGAAAAAGTATAAAATTCTGTGACCCACATCTAATGGTACCAGAACATTCACTTGGTCATGTCTTGAGTTTGTTTTATTCTCTTTGCCTAGAAAATTAAGATTGCGGCCCTGCGCATGTATACCAGCTGTGTGGAGAAAACTGACTTCGAGGAATTCTTTCTAAGTAAGTTACTGTTTTTGAAAGTTCTGAAAAGGAAAATGAATCTACTGTTCATTTTTATGTTTGTGTCTTGGTCAAATAGTTTTCTTTTTTAAGGTACTAGTGAAACAGTTTTTCTTGCACAGGATATATAATAAAAGCTTCCTACTTTTCTCCTAATAGAATAAACAGAGGCCAAAAGAACCTTATAAATAAGGTGTTTTATTTGGGAAAAATAAAGCATTTGGGGGAAAAAAAGTAAAAATTTGTCCAGTACTTCAACATTATCATCCCCTTTGTCCACATATGCATGTTTTACATAAGGGTACTCAGAGTAAACATACCGTTTTACGTTCTGGATGTTTTACTTGGCAATTTTGACATGAACTTTTAGCCAGTGATTGCTCTTTTATTTCTAGTTTATAATTGTTTTAGTTAATCCTGGAATATGTCTCATGATTTTTCTTCTTTCTGTAAAAGGTCAAAAGGTATGTATAACTTTATTATTTTTATCCTATTGATAAATTGCTTTCTGAAAGTTTTACTGGTTTAGATGATCACTAGCAGTTGATTGTATCAGTACAATACTCATTTTGATGCTGTAAACTGTTGTAGTTATAAACAAGTCATTTAAAGCAGATACTTAGAAAGTCATTGGGAAAGTTTAAACTGTTTCCAGTTCCACAGATTTTGGAAGGAAATGTGTGCTGTGCACCTCTACCTCTTGTGGTAATAGCCATTATCCTCAAAGCAACAAACACTTAACTATGTTCTTGATATTTTTCATGGACAGCAAATAATTAATATATAATTATATTAACAACAATGAAGAAAGAGATGCAGCTTTGTTTACTATTTTTTAAAATTAGATGCCATTGTTTTGTTGATTTTACTTTCAGCAGATTGATATTATATTAGAAACTTAAAATACTATGCTGAGTTGTAATCCTCATTTAGTATCTGCCTTTCATTTCCTATTTACTTGTAGTGAAGAAAGAAAACCTTCCTGCTGCTTTTTCACCTCTAGCAGTTTTTTATTTTAGGAGAAATTAGTCTGAAAGGAGAAAATATTCTTTCTCTACATGATGAAGAAACTGTTAATTTTAGAAGCTGGATTTTTCTTAAGTAGTTTTAAGTATTTTTCTTTAGATCTTTTTAAAACTTCCTCCTGGACATCTATTTAATATTAAATATCTCATAAACTTAAAATTATTTTGAAAGGATGTTTACTAGCTATCTTTGTTTAGCTAATCCTTATTAAATATTCTTGAGTTAATATTATAATATTAAATAATGAGACATTACATACTTAATGTATCATGTTTCAATTTATAATCTGTTGTAGACTACTTATAAAAATAAAAGTTTATTAAAGTGAGTATCCATTACATTTTCATAGTTCACACTTACATGCTTTTACGTTTGTTTCCTTTTGGAGTTATAAAACCTTGCAAGACTGGAGGACTTATATTCTTATTTTAATTTTTGTTTTGTTTTCAGAAACTGTTGAAACTTAAAGAGGCTAAGTGATTTACCTAAAGTTGCTTACTAGTCAAGCCTTGATCCTATGTTATCTGGCTTAAAATCCAGGAATTTTTCTGCTATAACCTATTGCCTTGAATGAATATAATTGCAACATAGAATTATAGTCCATTTTAATATTTTGTGTTTTATAATTCTTTGTATTTTACAATTTTTAATTGAGAATTACCTCTGTGATGTGTTCTATTAATTTTGTGAACTGCTGTTTATATATTATTAAAATGTGTACACCTCAGTGAGCTTTGTTCTAAGCCTTACCCTTTGAATTAGTTACCTGGGGAGGCAGTACATTTTTCGGTGATACCACTGTTACTTCAGGTTTTCTGAGACTAACTTTGAGAAAAATTACCTTTTAGACTTATATCATGTTCATTTGTATTATGCTCCATTGTGGTCCATTTTTGTCATTTGTGGTTAGATTAAATTTCAGAATTGTGGCCAGTGAATAGAAAGGGAGAAAATCTGAAAAGTACCACTTAGAGGCAGACAAACAGTATCAATAGTGATGAGACTGACTTTCTTGCATCTTGGATTCTAAAGAGTAGGCCAGACAAGTTTGGGGTAAAAGAAGAGAATGTGTGTGTGTGTGTGTAAAAGAAGAGTGTGTGTGTGTGTGTGTGTCTGTGTGTCTGTGTGTTGCTTCCCAAGATTACATCTGTAATGTGGCTATTGCTCCTTTGGATTTTTGACATTTTAGGGCTTTACTTTTAGAGTCCTGAGAATTGAGTAGCTTTTAAAGGATAGAGAGGCTTGGTTAGCTGTAGGTGTCATTCTCACTCTTCCAACAAAAGTGAGGCCAGTTGTATGTCATGAAGGTTGAGTTCTTTACTCAGTAAACATATGCCTGTCAGCCCCTCGTACAAGTCCTCATAAAATGCCAAAGCTACAGATACTCTGTCATGTCAGAGCCAAAGTGTTCAGAGGTCTTGATCCGGAGACCTAGATGCTGAGGATTCTGACTGGGGACATACCTTAATAGTCCACTGTTGTTTCCAAGATGTTCTGATGATGTCATTGTGGCATAAATGAGTGTACCCTCTGTGAGCACGCAGTGTTTGCTAACTGGTCTTTTGGTGATCAGTTCCATTATAAAGAGCACTTTTGGGGCAGAGGTGGTCAGCCAGTCAGTAAAGCTTGTGTTTAAAACCACACTGTTGTCTGCAAACTGCTTTGTTTTTAGCCCTAAGAGCCTTCATACCTTGGAGAGGAGACTCCTTAATGAGTCAATTTTGAGTTAATAAAATTGAAGTTCTACCTTTATCTCTTTTTGATACTAATACTCAGCTATCAAATATATCAATTTTGTATAAGTTTATGATGTATTTTTTTAAAACTTGAAGAAAAAAAGATTGAGGTTCATCATCAATAGATGAAATCTTAATGAGTTTTTTTCAAAGATAGTTTAACACTAGTGTTTAAACAGTTCACTGAAAAACAGTAGTGAATGTTTGTATGCTGTGCTTAGTCGCTCAGTTACGTCTGACTCTTAGAGACCCCGGGGACTGTAGCCCATTAGACTCCTCTGTCCATGGGATTCTCCAGGCAAGAATACTGGAGTGGGTTGCCATGCCCTCCTCCAGGGGATCTTCCTAACCCAGGGATTGAACCTAGGTTTTCCTCTGCAGATGGATTCCTTACCAACTTCCTTACCAACTGAGCCACCAGGGAAGCCCTGGTGAATTCACAAAATTAAAAAAACATTCACAAAAGTGAATGTTTATTGAGTACCTATTAAATGTTAACTACTTTGTTAAATGTTCTACAGGCCTTATCTCATTTATTCTTCACAAAAACTCTCTAAGGTAGGTTCTCTAATTCTCCCATTTTTATAGAGAAGAAAACAGGTACTGACAGGTAACTTTGCCCAGAGTCACATAGCAAGAAAGAAGTAGAGTTAAGGTTTTGAATCAGGATGTCTGACCCCAGTGTCTTCATTAAACATGCAACTATGTTAGTACTGCCACCTCATAACTGTAATGAATTAATTTAGTTTTACTCAACTGATGTTGAGGAAGAAAGTATCTAGCCTTATATAATAGTGCACTGAATGTATACTGGAGCTAAGTGTGATTATGGGAATACCTTGTGATCATGGGAATACCTTGTGATCATGGGAAGACCTATAGCAGGTTTTAACTTTGAAGTGTTTAAAGACATTTCATAAAGCTAAAGAATCTGCTGTTTGTTGAGTTGCTCACAAACTTTCAGTGGTCATGTTTTTCAGGGCTTTAGCCTGTGCTTTTCTGTTCTGACCCCAGTGCGTACAGGGAGTCAGTCATATGCCAGCTCTTTTCCCATCCTCAGCTCTGAGCTGTCCCCCAGAGGGAAAATTGTGACCCAAGTCCAGTTGCTGGCCTGTCTGTCTGTCTGCACTTTCCAGCTCAAGAACTGATTCCCTCTTTGAGAAAATTGGAAAGGCTCCTGGAGGCTGCTGAGAAGCTTTGATGTAGAGGTAGCAATTGAACAGATTGTCCTTTAGAAGCAGCCAAATTTCATTTTCCAGATTGAAAGACAGACTTCCAAGAAAGCTTTTCTTTTTAATGTTTTGTTCTAGCATCCAAAAAAGACCCAACTTCAGATCCGGGCTCGAGAGTTTCTCATGGCTATTCTTGTTCTAGGTGGAGGGTGGTTGGCCCACTCTCAGATGGCATGTGTCTTAATAGCCGAGTGACTGGCCAGGCCAGCCTTCACCTCCCTCCTGCTGGGCTCCGAGAGGAAGTCCACTTGACAGCTGCTGGGCACCTCCCAGGAAACTCACCCGAGTATTTTGGTGTCAGTTTGTGACAGACCTGGACTTAAACGCTATCCTAGCCACTAGTTTGTTAATATTGTGGCTGCCCACAAGTTCCTTAGCTCTTTGGAGCCCGTTTCCTCATCTCTAGAATGAGGCTTCTAATGCCTTCCTTCAGGGTTAAAGTGAGGATTAAGTGAGATAATATACTGACATGACTTAACAGTGGACTTGGCAGGAAGTTTGAACCCTTAGTGAATTTTAGTTTCTGATCCTAATATTAGAGAGGCCATTAGCAATTAGGCCATAGTATATGGAATCAAGGAGACCTAAATTTGATCCCAGATGTCTGATTTCACAGCTGTGTGAACTTGGGCAGTTGTTACGATCTCTCTTAAGTCAGTTTTCTCACCTGTCAAATGGGGATAATATCAATACCTACCTCATTGGAATGTTGGAAAGGTTCATTGAGCTAATACATATACCTTTCATTAAGTCTGGCACATACATAGTAAGCCCAAAATGAATTATAGCTCTTTATTATTCTTGATGTTGTTAGTGTACCTCACTAACAGAGCAGGGGGCCTGCTCTGTGCTTTCTATCTTAGTGGCCCTTGTTTGTGATCATTTAGGTCATAGTATACTTCATTGTTTGCTGAAGGGCAGAAGATACTACTTTCTTTCTTGAGTCATTAATCCAAGGAACAGAATCAGATTCCCACTGATTCTCTTTTTATCATCTTGCTCCACCATTTCTCCCCGTCACGTAATAAGGAGAGCATATCCAGTGGGGGACCCTTCACCAAGCCAGAGGCATTTCTTAAGGATCCGAGAATTGAGAGGCTTGGATATCTAAGCACTGACCTGATTTTTGGTATTTTAAACCAAGGAGAAGCCCTGCCTGGTTTATCATTCCTGGGGGTGATGAACGGCATTTTGTTAGATATCATCTGCTTTCTTATTCAACTGCAGTTCTCTCGAGCTCTCAACTTCTTTCTCTCAATCATTTATTTTGGTTGCATCATTTAGCATACTCATGTTTGTAGCACATTGGGTTACCTTAAAGAAAAAAAAACAGAAAAGGGATACAAGAAGAACTTAATTTCTTGGCAGGGCTCAAGTAAAAAAAACAAAACAAAACTTATACATGGGACTTCCCTGGTGGTCCAGTGGTTAAGAATCCGCTTTGCAGTGCAGGGGATGTGGGTTTGAACCCTGGTTGGGGAATGAAGATCCCACATGCAGAGGAGCTTGACTAAGCCAACGTATTGCAACTATTGAGCCCTCACACAACTAGAGTTGTGTGCGCCACAATGAAAGATCCTGCATGATGCAAGGGAGATCCCATGTGCTGCACTTATGATGGAAGGCAGCCAAATAAATTAACACATTTTAAAAAAATACAATATACTTAAAGTGAGGGTAGGCAAGTGGTGTCTGCCTAGCTTTCCAAAAGAATTGGAGATCATTAAGGGAAAATAACATTGACTCATATGGCAATTAGAAGGAATTACAGAGATTGTCCAGGCCACACGATACAAAGTGAGAAAACAGGCTCAGAGAAGTGATTTTCCAAAGGCCACACAGCAGGGTGGTGATGGGGCTGGAACTAGAAGCCTGGTTGCCTAACTACATTCACTGTTCTTTCAACCCATAGTCTTGCCTTGTGGTTCCATTGGCCTTCTCTCTGTGATAGCATAATCAGAGAGCACTGTGACTGCTGTATATTTTGATTGAACAAATCCCTACCAATATTTCAAATAGAGTCCATATTCCTCTTCTAAACCCTCACATATTTATACTTCATTATTATTTTCTAGGGTGTCAGATGCCTGATACATTCAATTCATGGTTTCTTATAACTCTGCTTCATGTCTGGTAAGTGAGAAATTTAAGTGAAGTCACCATATTTTTTTTTTTTTTAACACTGCTGACTTGTTAAGGTATAGCCCTCAGTAGAGCTGATTATATGAAATGGCAGTTGTTCAGGCATTAAAAACTGTTCCTTTCATTTTAATAACTGGTGTCTTATGGCACATTTTTTATTAAAGGTCAAAGCATAGTCCCAGAAAGAAACTAATATTTGTAGGAGTTTCTCAAAGAACACCTAATCCAGTGAACAATGCTATCAGTATCTCTAAGAGACCCTATGGGCTTGGGTGGAAAGTTCTTTCCCTTGGCTGTTTTAGGAAAGTTCACATTTACGTAAAAGTGGTTTGAATTGTGAGCATCCGTGGTCATTTTCATTGCTGGTCATCAGAAACCTATAACAAATTATAGCACTGACATTTACGCCTGTACCTCTAAAATGTGCATACAGGTTAGATTCATGCCAGGTTTGTTGCATGTAAAAATATTTAACACCTTAAACAGTATATTTTTTCTTCAGCTGCAAATTACGTAGCCAAAAAAAATCAATTTTTCATCTAATGTTACACAGTATTAAAGGTCAGAAGGATATAGGAGAGGCGTTGGAAGTGGGGGCTGGGGAATGTATTTATTGAACTGCCAGATCTTGGGAAAGTAAATTCTGGAGAACTAAGTTTACTACTTTGACCATAGTGAGCATCTGAGGAACGTGGGGAATGGTTGCCTTGTCAAAAGGACCCTTGTTTGAGACTGAGCTTTGCATCACAGGACTGACTGCTATATAAAGACTTTTTGGTTTTAATCACCTCTGAAATATTTCTTCTGAACTCGCATAGTCAGTGAGATTGGCTCAGGGGTCTAAGGTGGCAGTTTATGTTGTTTTTTCCTAAACCGGTAGTTTATTGAGTGTACACTGTGTCCTGGGCAGTCAATAAGCTGTGTCAGGAAGCTCCCAGTCTAGTGAGGGAGATAAGACATGCTTAGTAGTTGGTTATAAATTGGAATGGCCAAGTTCTATAATAAATCTGAGTAAGTCATGCCTGTGGAATATAGAGGAGGCAGCAACCCTCACCTGGCTTTTGAAATGTGCCATGTCTTAGTCAGAAAGCTGAGAAGGCAGACTACCTTCGGTCTGAATGGTTGAAGGTTAGGAAGAAGTTCAGGGGGGATGCTGGATGTACTGAGAGGAAAACTACTTTTTCAAGAGGAGTGCACTGCAGAGGTGGCCCTGGGGAATTACCCACTGCAGAGGTGGGAGGATTGAGAGGAGGCTAGGCTGTTTCCAGAGGAGCTCAAAGATAATATTCAAAGCCAGTATGAAAGACTCTTTATTGCCCAATAGCCAGAGGTATCAGCATGTTAGAGGGAGTGGATGGCAAAATAAAAAATATAATCCTTGTGACCACATCCCAAGGTCAGTACCTGACTAATAGCAGCTGGGGCAACCTTATAACTACTTGTAGTTCTTTCAAGTGAGCCGTGATTTCCAAATGTGCCTGCTGAGTCTTCCTTGCTGAGATTGGTTTAATTCTCAGAGGCATGGGGAGTACCATCACCAGGTAAGTAGAGGGAGGGAGGCTTGTCTACACTTGGTCTCTCGTCCATCCTTCCTCCTTGGTTCTCGTGATCTGCAGCTTTGGTGAGATGAATCAGTAGCTTTTCAGTTTGAATCAGCAAACTCTGTGTTAAGGACTGGCAGGCACTGGAGAGAAGGATGTGACATGGTGTGCACCTTCAAGAAACTTAGTTGAGCGGAAAGCAGACCCAGTACAATTGCCTGTAATGGATGACAGTGAAAGAAGTGCTGTGCCCAAAGCACACACAGGTACTGCGCAAGGACACGAAGGTGTGACTGAGTCCAGATTTGGTGGATGGGGGCAGTATTGGATGAAGAGTTGCTGTGTGGTAGAGGTGGCATATGAGATGTACCGTGAAGAGTGAGTAGCATTTCTGTCAGAGAAAGGAAGGCACTCTTAAGTTGTGGGAGTATTAGGAGCAAGACATAGAACATGTACAAGAACGCGGAATATTTGAGGGCAGCCACATTGTCTGTAGCATCTAGGAACGTAGTGGAAAAGGGTCATCAGAAAAGTAGTTTAGGATCCAGTGTGCTATGATCCACCAAGAAGAATTAGGGAAACTCTCTTCTAGGGGTTAGAGTTCTTAGAGGAAGTAAGGGATTCACCCCAGGGCTGTGGGAAAGCTGTGTTCTTCTGGTCCTGTTCTCTTAGCTTGAAACTCTAGGAGGTTAACTGGGGGATCTCCAAGTCCAACATTACCAGGCTCAGTGGACTTGCTGGGGATGGGTAGGATTCAAATACCTCCTGTGAGTGGTACTATGAGGGAGAAGTGGGGAGGCTTAGAAAGCAGTCATAAAAATACAAAGAATTCCCCACTTCCTAAAAAGCCCCCCACAAACACTAGAATACTCTTGCTTAGGTTCCCAAGGGTGATGATGCCCTGTTGGCTCTTAGAATAGGGACAGGATTTCTTATATCCTGTTAGTTCCCTGGAGGACGTGTTGATGTCCCCCTTATCCTTTCTGCTTTCTCTAGGTCCCAAATTTTTGTGTGTATTGGGATTTAGGACTGGGAACCCTTCAGTTCCCAGACGGTCCTTATCAGTTGTGTTTTCTTGTGAACATGCAACTGTGGTGACTATATGTCCTTTGTCTTTGCCGAACAAGGTTAGTATTCACTACAGCTGCTGAAAAAATGCTGACAGAGGTTGCTGTGGGGGCTTTCTAGCATCTCCACGTGGACTTGATAAAAGCAGGCTTCCCCTTCTGTTCCCTGTCTGGGGCAGTGGTGTTGAGATCCATTCAGGTGCCCACACCAGAAACCTGGGAGGCCACCTTTTCCCTCATTCCCTTCATCTGGTCAGGCCCCAGTCACTCATCTCAACCACTTTTGACCATGACCCATTAGTAACAAATGTATCTTACCTTGTAGTCCAGAACAAACAGATATATGACACAAAAATTTTATAAAACTTATCCTTACAGCATCAAATAATCTGATATTTTCTATTTCATTTGAATTTATTTAAAACAGAAATGTAAGATATCACCCACTAATTGATTTCACTGATTACAAGGAACAGTACCTGAAAACAGGTATTTGGACTTCAACTTCCCTCTTCCTGTGCCATAGATCTCTCACTCAAACACACACACACACACACACACACACACCCACCCACACCCTCCTTAGTATTTTCTGTTGTTCTCAAGATACAGTGTGTTTCCTAGCATGGCATTCATATTCCATCAAATACGCTACCTTTACCACACTCATCTGGTGCCATCCTAGGTACCACTGTCACCGCACTCCCTCCTCTGCAAGAAAAAATAAATAGAAATGTTTATGTATGATAGAAATATCAAGTCTTCTGCACAAAAGCTTTCTTCTGCCTAGAAAGCCCTTCTTCCTCTCCACCTGACAAACTCCTGTTTTTCATTCAATAACCAACTCAGATATCATCTCTTCTTTGAAGCCTTGCCTTCCCTTCAAAGGCAGAGTTAGTTCCTCTTCTGAGTTCCCTTAGTCTTTTGGACACCTCTGTTATAGCACTTATCACATGACATTTTTAATTTTATCATATTGTGGATGGTAAATTTATTGAGAGCAAGAATTTTTTTATTATCCTTTTGGAAAGACATGAAAATGAGATACTTTTTTCCCTCAGTCCCATATCTTATTTGAGTTCACATTGATAAACGTTGATTAAATACTCTATGGCCCGAAATCTCTCTTGGCTCCTATGGCAATTGGAAGGGTCCTGGCCACTGCCTGTTGGTCATATGAGAGAGACAAAGCTCTGCTCCTGCTTGTTTCCGTGGGTGGTGAGATGTATTTAAATGGAATTCATCTTAATGTTCAAAGTATTAATAGATTTGTAGAGACCCTGATTTTAAAATTTGTCATGAAACCCTACTAGTACTTCATAGATACAGAAATTTATTTTAGAAAAGGAAATGGGGAATTCTCTGATGATTCAATGGTTAGGATTCCAGCCTTTCACTACAGGGGGCCCCAGTTCAATCCCTGGTCGGGGAACTAAGATCCTGCAAGCCAAAAAAAAAAAAAAAGAAGTGGAACAAATAAAATTAGAATATGCCTAGGATGGAGGTGGGGTGGAGAGGAAAATACAGATTGTATTTTTAAAAATTATCAAAGTCAGGTATATCATAAATATAGTAACTATTAGGTCCTTTACAGTATTGTTTTAAAATTTATTTACATATATTATCTCACACATTTTTATAACTACTTTATTCCTATTACATATGAGGGATCAGAGACTTAGAAAAGTCAGAGAGCTTGCCCATAGAACTAGTACATGGTAGAGAGGAAATTCAAATACGGGTCTGACTAACTCAGAGTGTTAAGTTCCTTTCCTCACTGGTAACTGAAACTATTAAAGTAACTAATTAAATAGTTATTACTAATTAGTACTAGTAATAGTTAATATTAATTAATACTATTTATAGGGGCTTCCCCAGTAGCTCAGTTGGTAAAGAATCCACCTGCAGTGCAGGAGACCTGGGTTCAATTCCTGGGTTGGGAAGGTCTGCTGCAGAGAGGATAGGCTACCCACTCCAGTATTCTTTGGCTTCCCTTGTGGCTCAGCTGGTAAACAATCTGCCTGCAATGCAGGAAACCTGGGTTCGATCCCTGGGTTGGGAAGATCCCCCTGGAGAAGGGAAAGGCTACCCACTCCACTATTCTGGCTTAGAAAATTCCAGGGTTGCAAAGAGTTGGACACGACTGAGTGACTTGACTAATACTATTTATGACTTATTTAAGTATTTGCTTATTCTTTTTTTAAGACTATTCTTTTGTTATTTATTTTAATTTTATTTATTTTTTGGCTGCGTGACATTCATTATCCTAGCTCCTTAGCCAGGGCTTGTACCTGTACTCCCTGCATTGGAAGCGCAGAGTCTTAACCACTGGACCACCAGGGAAGTCCCAGTACCTGCTTATTCTTAAACATAAATCCGTAAA